CGATATAGTCGGAATCGTACAATGGCCACTGCTTTTAGCTAATAATTATGGGAATGTGTTTCGTCGTTTTTCTTAGCATCTAAATGCATGTTTCTGAAATTGAAGCCAAAGACAAAATTCACGTCGTTGGGATATATTTTGTTTGCAGTAATACAAAATATTTTTGAAAATAAAAAAGCAAATGGATGCCATCCTGTTTGATACTGATGAGAATGTCAGACAACGGGAAGCAGATACATAATAGTTCCCTTGTAACAGAAACTCGATAGTAATGAGCAGTATGTCACTCTGACATTTCCAATGACGAGAAGGTCAATCATGCAGGGACCAGATGTGTACAGCCTATCTATATGACACGACCATAGAAACACGATAGCAGCCCAATCCACCATCATTCCCAGAATGTGGATTGTTTTTAGAATCGTTTTTGAAGTACGACCATAAATCAGGTTACGGGTAGAATTGGTCTTCAGCAACCCATGCTTGTCGTAAGAGGTGTCTAATGGGTCGGGTGGTCAGACTCGCTGCAAAGATGGTGCATGGTATTCCAATTGCGTAGATCGATGCTCATGATGTCAATCACTGGATTGTTTGGTCCGGATTCGATTATTTACAGACCCACGTCATACATATATAGCTTGGAATATTTCTGAGTGCGGCGTTCACTCATCTGACACAACATCCCGAGCTCATCTCGGGCGCTCACGTTCAATAATTGGATTTTCTGATATCAGAATTGATGATATCTTGATTGATATCTCTAATTGAATTAAATATATCTTAATTTAATTAATGATATCTGCATAAATCCTTTCAAGATATCAAACATATAATTTAAGATATGATATGATTATATACAGCGTGATGTTAATTGTTGTAATGATATATTATATGCATTTAGGATATCTCGAAATAAGGGTTTGATATCACAGTAACATATTAAGATATCCTCAAATATGTACTGATGCCATAACAACGTCGTTGATGTGTTTTAATATAATATTGATATCTTTAAAATAATTGAAGATATCAGAAATTAGGTAATGAAAATGAAAACGGCTTGCCACAGATTCCTGCATATCCAGGGCCTTGTCAATACAACCGTCTCCGGTAAAGGAGGTCAAAGGTCAATGTTAGCCACGTTCGGGGCCAAGACTGGGAAGAAGCAAAAGCGCAAAGATCAAAGTAGTTGTTATACTCGTTAGGGGCATATGGACTCGACGAAGTAGCCCCAATCCAGTCGATTTGCAATTTGATTCATACGACCGTAATTCGGCGAATCGGCAGTTCCCGAATCTACATGAATACAAGACAGAGGGTTCGGAGCAATCAATGGCGCGAGCTTGTACCGGGGCCATACTCCATCCCGCGAGAATACGCGATTTTCCGATAGTATTTGCCTAAAGGTTCTGTTCACACTGGGATTACAAGGCGCTCTCGAAGAGTGATGTATTTCGGCGCGGCGCCAGAGTCGGTGTCACTTTCCACGCTGGTCATTTGATTCCGATTGACTTGGTCCTTCCATATGTATTTATGAATATTTCAAACAGAGCTGGGTTTGGGTGATGCCGTCGACTCAGACGTTGGATGTTGGCGAGATTAGATGTTGGTCGTTTATATGAGGGCGGCGTTCAATTTGTGACGATAGTTCGACATGTAGGAGCATCTATCTTTTAACTAGGATACAGATGTAATGGCGACTGCAACAACTACCACCACGACTACCAGTACTACTACTACTACTACTACTACTACTACTACTACAACTACAACTACAACTTCTACTACTACTACTACCACTACAACAACTACTACTACTACTACTACTACTGCTTTTTCTACTACTACAACTATTACTACTACTGCGACTACTACTACTACTACTACAACTACTACTACTACTACTACTACTACTACTTTTTCTACTACTACAACTATTACTACTACTGCGACTACTACTACTACTACAACTACTACGACTACTACTGCTATTACTACTACTATCACTATTACTACTACTACAACTACTACTACCACTACTACTACTACTAATACTACTACAACTACTACGACTACTTCAACTATTACTACTACTACAACTACTACTACTACAACTACGACTACTACTACTATTACTACTACTATCACTATTACTACTACTACTACTACTACTAGTTCTACTGCCACAACTACTACTACGACCACTACAACTATTACTACTACAACTACTACTATTTCTGCTACTACAACTACTACGACCACTACAACTATTACTACTACAACTACTACTATTTCTACTACTACAACTACTACTACTAGTTCTACTGCCACAACTACTACTACGACTACTACTACAACAACATCTATGCTTAAATCTACTACTTCTACTCACACATCTGCCGTCTCTGCATGAGTTACTACCCGTACTAATTATTAACAAAGCGCACCCGTCACAAACACATGCAAGGGCGAGTTAAGTGTTCACCTGAAGATGGTATTAGTCAAAATGGGAATTACAGCTGACATCATGTGTATCACTGATGCATCACATTTGGAAAGTTATCCACATGTCAGTCATCAAACTGTTTGAACGCTTTACTGAAACCTTGATTTTTGTATTCCTCACCAAACAACTTTTATGCAATAATCGTATGACGCTTTTTAAAGTTTACGTAGAAAGAGCTTAATCGGTTGTACGTCAAAAGTTACTAAATGTAAACACCATAGGCTGGACCTGCTGGAATATTGCTTGCCATTAAGGGAAAGTTGACAGTTGGAAAGTTGACAGTTGGAAATTTGAAGTTACCCATCTTGCCATACAGTCTTGTGGAGAGTTCTTTGTCACCCTGAATCTTCATGCTTGGAAAGGGGCGGTCGGGTATCCCAGTGGTTAAAGCGTTCGCTCGTCACGCCGAAGACCCGGGTTCGATTCCCGACATGGGTACAATGTGTGAAGCCCATTTCTGGTGTCCCCCGCCGTGATATTGCTGGAATATTGCTAAATGCGGCGTAAAACCATACTCACTCACTCACTCATGCTTGGAAAAATACAAAAATTCATTGAAAAATCGATCACTGAAATCAAGTGCTGTTTTCAAAACAACCAAGAAAACTGGTCTTCAGGAATAAGAAAATATATCACATTATGACAGTTAAACCAAACTGTGAAGGACACCGTCTCTGGGGCGGCATTCTGGTGGCAGGCAGCTGTAGCTTGTGTTCACGCTGGTCCTGCCTGTCGCATGAGTCTATCCAACATGAAACCCGCACAGGTAGTTGCGGGAGATCCTTTCACTGCATGATCCCGTCTGTACTCTGTACCTCCGTCCCTGGACTCTTCTGGGGGAAGGGTGTGGTCGGGTGGTGTGTGATAGCTGTTGAATTGTTATATTCGGAGATGGGTGTGGGGAGGTTGTTTGTAGTCAAATCACGAGAAGTTAGATGTGTAATATTCGAGAGAGGGGCTGAGGGAAAGAGAGAGAGACAGACAGACAGAGAAACAGAGAGAGACACACGGAGAAGTCACACAGAGACAAACAGAAACAGACACGGAGAGAGAGAACGACAGAGAGACAGAAACAGTGAGAGAAACATGGAGAGAAAGAGGGAGAGAGAGACGGAAACAGAAAGACACACGGAGAGAGAGAGAGGGAGAGAGAGAGACAAAGAGAAACAGAGAGAAATCCACACACGGAGAACTCACAGAGCGAGACACTCGGAAACAGACATACGGAGAGAAAGAACGACAGATAGACAGAAACACAGACACAGAGAGAGAAAGACAGGGAAATAGAAAGACACACACGGAGAGAGAGAGAGAGAGTGAGAGAGAGAGAGACAGACAGACAGAACGACACACACGGGAGAGAAAGAGAGCGAGAGAGAGAGAGAGACAGACAGACAGAACGACACACACGGGAGAGAAAGAGAGACAGACAGACAGACAGAACGACACACACGGGAGGGAGAGAGAGAAAGAGAGATGGAGGGAGGGGGGGGAGGGGGGGGGGGGGGGGGTAGCAGAATGTTAATTGGATATTAAATGTCAAGTATAACAGTAGCATGGAGTATGTTCCTGCCATCACTTGTGCTGCGAAGGACATCATTCCCTCCCCACCTCACAGCATCATCCGCAATGTCAACACATCCCCCGCCCATTGCCTGCTGTTGTTTGTCCAGGCCTAATACCGGCCTTGTTTATATTGATGTGACGCTATCGATCTGCAGCAACCGCCGTCCATCAACATGACGTTTTCAAGTTCTGTCCACAGATATCAGATGTCAAAGGGGGTAACACGGTAACCTAAAGTTCTTAAGGGATTGACAATTAATGTATTTTAACTGCTATTAGTAAACGTTTTCGGGAAATTCCTGTATTAATTAACACGATTCCTTTGTGTGTCTCACTAGTACATGTGCACCAAGGGTCACTTTGTGGCCAACATAGGGCTAAGTAAATCAATATTCCTGATAAGCGAAGATCAACTAATAATTGCACATATATTATAATATAGAGATAGCATCACTGTGGGTAGGCGAGATTACTAAAGATTATGTCATGCCGCTGTATGCCTTAAAAGTTCTTAATAACAAAGAAAAACGAAAGAAAAAACAAATCAGTCATATCTCAAACTTTACTTTTTATTTGTTGTTATGGTTGTCACATTCAAAGGAAACTTCAGTTTCAAGGCTTAATTCAACTCTAAAATCTAAAATGATACACTGAAAACTATCGATATTTATCGCAATAGTTGCTTGCAATATCAAGAGTTCGCAATAGCTTCTTTCAATATCAATAGATATCGCAATAGTGATTTCCAGACCAATAGTCACCCCCACAGAGTACAAGGCATAGCAGTTCCTGTCGTGGACCCATCTAGTGCAGAGAACTCTCAGTCTCTGGTAGTCCAGGCATAGCAGTTCCTGTCGTGGACCCATCTAGTGCAGTGAGCTCTCAGTCTCTGGTAGTCCACGCATAACAGCTCCCGTCGTGGACCAATCTAGTGCAGACAAGCTCTCAGTCTCTGGTAGTCCAGGCATAGCAGTTCCTGTCGTGGCCCCATCTTGTGCAGACAGCTCTCAGTCTCTGGTAGTCCACGCATAACAGCTCCCGTCGTGGACCCATCTAGTGCAGACAAGCTCTCAGTCTCAGGTGGTCCACGCATAGCAGTTCCTGTCGTGGACCCATCTAGTGAGGACAAGCTCTCGGTCTCAGGTGGTCCACGCATAGCAGTTCCTGTCGTGGACCCATCTAGTGAGGACAAGCTCTCAGTCTCAGGTGGTCCAGGCATGACAGTTCCTGCCGTGGTCCCATCTAGTGCAGACAAGCTCTCAGTCTCAGGTGGTCCAGGCATAGCAGTTCCTGTCGTGGTCCCATCTAGTGCAGACAAGCTCTCAGTCTCTGGTGGTTCAGGGATAGCAGTTCCTGTCGTGGACCCATCTAGTGCAGACAAGCTCTCAGTCTCAAGTGGTCCAGGCATAGCAGTTCCTGTCGTGGCCCCATCTAGTGCAGACAAGCTCTCAGTCTCAGGTGGTCCAGGCATATCAGTTCCTGTCGTGGACCCATCTAGTGCAGACAAGCTCTCAGTCTCAGGTGGTCCAGGCATAGCAGTTCCTGTCGTGGACCCATCTAGTGAAGATAAGCTCTCAGTCTCAGGTGATCCAGGCATAGCAGTTCCTGTCGTGGCCCCATCTAGTGCAGACAAGCTCTCAGTCTCAGGACGTCCAGGCATAGCGGTTCCTGTCGTGGACCCATCTAGTGAAGACAAGCTCTCAGTCTCAGGTGGTCCAGGGATAGCAGTTCCGGTCGTGGTCCCATCTAGTGAAGACAAGCTCTCAGTCTCAGGTGGTCCAGGCATAACAGCTCCCGTCGTGGACCCATCTAGTGCAGACAAGCTCTCAGTCTCAGGTGGTCCAGGCATAGCATTTCCTGTCGTGGTCCCATCTAGTGAGGACAAGCTCTCAGTCTCAGGACGTCCAGGCATAGCAGTTCCTGTCGTGGCCCCATCTAGTGAGGACAAGCTCTCAGTCTCAGGTGGTCCAGGCATAGCAGTTCCTGTCGTGGACCCATCTAGTGCAGACAAGCTCTCAGTCTCAGGTGGTCCAAGCATAGCAGTTCCTGTCGTGGACCCATCTAGTGAAGACAAGCTCTCAGTCTCAGGTGGTCCAGGCATAGCATTTCCTGTCGTGACCCAATCTAGTGCAGACAAGCTCTCAGTCTCAGGTGGTCCAGGCATAGCAGTTCCTGTCGTGGACCCATCTAGTGCAGACAAGCTCTCAGTCTCAGGTGGTCCAGGCATAGCAGTTCCTGTCGTGGACCCATCTAGTGCAGACAAGCTCTCAGTCTCAGGTGGTCCAAGCATAGCAGTTCCTGTCGTGGACCCATCTAGTGAAGACAAGCTCTCAGTCTCAGGTGGTCCAGGCATAGCATTTCCTGTCGTGACCCAATCTAGTGCAGACAAGCTCTCAGTCTCAGGTGGTCCAGGCATAGCAGTTCCTGTCGTGGACCCATCTAGTGCAGACAAGCTCTCGGTCTCAGGTGGTCCAGGCATAGCAGTTCCTGTCGTGGACCCATCTAGTGCAGACAAGCTCTCGGTCTCAGGTGGTCCAGGCATAGCAGTTCCTGTCGTGGACCCATCTAGTGCAGACAAGCTCTCGGTCTCAGGTGGTCCAGGCATAGCAGTTCCTGTCGTGGACCCATCTAGTGAAGACAAGCTCTCAGTCTCAGTTGGTCCATGGAAGACAACGTTAGGAATATAAACATCCTGCAGTTTCTGACGTCGTCTTCTTGTTGCTTCCTGACGGGGTTACACATGCAGTAAACCATATTTCTACTGATGCTGATGATGCTGATGATGCTGCTGCTGATGATGATGATGATGCTGATGATGATGATGATGATATCTGCAGAAAGCAGAGTTCCTTGTACTATTCCAACTACACTGCCTGGCAAAATAAAGTACACTTGAAAATTGGATTCAAACGTTACTGGGCTGAAAACAAATTGTTCCAGTTCTAAATTTCGAAGTCGAATAAAAAAAATAATTCTTTATTCCTTAAGTTTAATGTTGGGGTGAGTTGGCCTGGAGGGAGGGCGGCGTTAAAGGGCCTTCGCGTTCTCCATCCGACAAGATGAACTTACCTGATTTCTCAATCTTTTATATGGAAACTAAACTAAGAAAGAAACTCCTGTTGTTCATATGCTCTTATGGCTTCCCATAAAGTACATCCAGTCTTACAAGGTGAGGTTTTATCGTTGCAGGCATTAGTGATAAGTCCATCTAGTGTAGAGCGTAATATGGAATGACTGATTTGATCTATAAAAACCTTGCAAATGATTTTCAACACCTAGAAAAAAGACGTTAGCCGATAAATGTTCTGAAAAAGCAGGACAAGACACGAGAGTGCCACTAAACTCAGAAATTTAACATTTTTAGAATTGTGATTTTTTAAATATCTGTTGGGGTCATGGGTGGGGTCATGGGGTCATTCAGTACAGGGGCGGTCGGGTAGCCTAGCAAGTGGTTAAAGGGTTGGCTCTTCACGCCGAAGATCCAGGTTAGATCCGTATACAAGAGGCACGGGTGACCCAGACGTCTAAGGCGCCGCAATTCCCTGTGCAGAGTTACGTCCCTTGGGTACGCCAGAAACCTATGATTGTGAGTTCGGATCCCGGTTCGCCCCTATTATGTTTCTAGGTTTGTCAGCACCATACCCGTGCTCGTGGGTTTCACCGAAGTGGTAAACGGGTAAGACCTGCATCACTTCGAGTTTTCCTCCCACAATAAGCTGACTGGCTGTGATTTTACTGGAATACGGTGTTACACCCAAATCACTCACTCACTCATAAATTGTATTTGGGCGAAAGGTGGGGTTGGTGGTATACGAATAAAAAAAATAAAAAATTCTCTTTCGTTTAAATTATCATTTTACACATTTGGTAAATACTACAAGAATCGAGTCTTTGAATGGCATTTAGAAGTGATACACATAAGGAAGAGAATTTATGGATGTCAACTTCTTTATTATGAGGAACACAACAAACAAGTTGTTCCTCATAATAAAGAGGTTGACATCCATATATTCTCTCCCTTATATACAGCAGGATGTTAATTGTTGTAATGATATCTTACATGCCTTTAGGGATATCTCGAAATTGGGGTTTGATATCACAGTAACTTCTTTATTCTGAGGAAACACAAAGTTTCGGGGTTTATGCTTACTCCTTCATCAGGTGAATGACTGCCATGAGGCAGAGAGCATATGTATAGAGAATCTCACCCGAGAGTCTTTTGATATGAAATATATCCACACGAGTTGATAAAAGTGGCAAAATTCCGAGGCTTGCCGAGGATTTTTGCCACTTTTATCAACGAGTGTTGATATATTTGATGTCAAAAGACACGAGGGTGAGATTTTATTTATCACCCAACATCATTCTTCCAACTTTTTCAATTTGTAGACAGTAATTAGCAGTGTTTTCAGTGTAAAAAGTGCTAACAGCTTCAGTAGCAGATCCATTAGTGATGTCATTCCATTGTGACGTCAGGGTAACAGTGATGTCACAATGGTCTGCAAAGCATTGTGATGCAATTTCATTGCAGCGATATCTACAGTGTAGATATCGCTTGATCTCATCCAAGCGATATCTCCTGTGGGAGCCAGTTTTGGATGATAAATGGACATGTAAGGACAACAAAAGTAATAAGATAACAAAAGGTGGAAAACTAATCAGGGAGACCGAGGTGATAGGTGATAGGTGATTAGCAAAAGACATTGGAAGCAACGCTTTACAGTAAATTATCATTGAATAGTAAAGGACAGTGGACAAACGGGAGTCCGTGGGTAATTACCACTGATAGGTCAAAGAATGGGAATAGCAATAAGGACAAATTAAAGCCAGCTACACAATTAACACCCACAAAGATCAAAGCAGTAAGTCCCAAGCACTAGGCAGATAGCTTCCCTGGTAACGGTTCATGGCTGGCTGGTGTCTCCTGATGTCAAAGCTTCTTGTAGTTTTCTTTGTCGCCAGTTGTTGTTGGTAGACAGGACTTTGGTGGCGACCCACGTGATGTTATGGTCTTGGTTCTTCGGGATGTGTTCGGAAATGGCGGATGTCAGGTCGAGTTTGTTGACAGAGGTGTGATGTGCTTTGAGTCTGGTGTGGGAATAGTCAAATTTGAACAGCGTTTTGAGAAGGCCGCACATTTCTAGTAGAACCGGTTGAAATAAGAACAGTGGTCGCCCTGGATACTTCTTGTGCTTTCAGTGTCCGGCCTGGAAACCAAAAAATATCGTAAGTGTCTTTTTCTATCCGGCTCGGCGGAAATGAACAGTTTAAAACTGAAATATTATTTTTTCGACTTTTCCCATTTTTTCATCAAGCATGTAATCAGAAAAACCTTATTGATATCGATCCTTATTAAAATTGTGTTTGGCGGTCTCAGGGAAATGGTTTAAAACTTATCATATTTACGGTAATATTACTTAAGATTAACGTGGTTGGGAACACCACAAATACTTTTTCCCGGGCGTGATTTTTTGCCTCGAAATGAAAAAAATAACTTAATCCTTTGGGAAATGACTTGGTAATTTGGAAAAAAACGATCACGAAGTAGCAGTAGTGAGTGATAGTCAAGCTAGAGAGACACTTAGAATCGGCTCCACATATTGTACCGGTGCCTATGTGGGGAGTAGAACACGGGTCTGAGGCGTGTCGAGCCAACACTTTATCCACTCGGCTACCCTATCGCCGCCAATATCAGTGAAAGCAACAACGACGATCGGTACGTTTTACAAAGAAAAAAGGAATAATTTATATAAGTAATAACTTACCTGATGTGAAGTCTTTAGTTCACCTGATATGAAGACGTTCGTTCAGCTGATATGACGTCTTTAGCTCACCTGATATGAAGACTTTAGCTCACCTGATATGAAGTCTTTGGTTTACCTGATATGGATACTTTAGCTCACCTGACATGAAGTCTTCAGCTCACCTGATATGAAGATTTTGGTTCACCTGATATGAAGATTTTAGTTCACCTGATATGAAGATTTTAGCTCACCTGATATGAAGACTTTGGTTCACCTGATATGAAAACTTTAACTCACCTGATATGAAGACTTTAGCTCACCTGATATGACTTTAGCTCACCTGATATGAAGACTTTAGCTCACCTGATATGAAGACTTAAGCTCACCTGATATGAAGACTTTGGCTCACCTGATATGAAGACTTTAGCTCACCTGATACGAAGAATTTCGCTCACCTGATATGAAATCTTTAGTTTACCTTAAGTGATTACTTTGGCTTACCTGATACAAAGTCTAGGGTGAGTCGAGACTCGACAGATAATTAATCCATCAGACCACCTCTCACTATCACTATCCCCGCCGCTACCTCCTGGGTCCGCTAGTTATCAAACGATGACATATGTCACAAAGAAATTACTTGCGAGTCAAAATGTTTTCACTTCATTTAATTCCATCAGTATGTAAGCTTTTCCCGGGGAAGGGTTAGACTGGAAAGGGGGGGGGGGGGGGGGGTAGCTTTATCACTTTCTTGCCATACATTTCAAATCTGTCCGATTTATCCTCTCGTGGCTGGTGTCAGTACACTTGTACACGAATCAATACAAGCTTGTAGCTGTGGATGACAGAACCAAATGATCCGGATCTAGGCGACTAGCAGCGTAGCTGTTGAATCAAGTCAGCTGGCCTCTCTAGCCCCAGAATGATGGACACGTACCGTTGGACCCAGACAGGAAACTAATTATACCGAGTCAGGGCTGAAATGCACACATCTCTGCCCCGATCGAGCTCTCGTGTCGTCGTAGGTTGGTCCGCATGTATGTAAGGGCTGGCTACATGACAACGTGATAAGCGACAGCCTTGGTTATCGTGAGGTGGTGCGACTGTAGGCTTGTGTGGGTATTGCTCGCGGAGACGGCACAGACGCACATGTTCACGGGGGGGACGTTGCAGTTAGGCGTGTTGTGATCGGGGGGATAGACGCCGCTGTTCTTTGACCGCAGGGTTTGAATGATGACCCCGCGAAGTGGTCAGATGGTCAGTTTGGCCTTTGGTTGGCTTGGAAACGCCGGGATTAAATGGAACCAAGGAATCGTACTTGCGATGGGAAGATTGTGTTTCTGAAATCGTTATACACTCGGAGGAACGAAGAAGGACTTGTCTAGTTCGGAGTTTTGAGTGGATCACGAAATGGTAAGGTTCCGCGTTGGTTCTGTAATACTGAAGTTCATATGTTTTCTTAATTTGGCAGTACACAAAGCACAACGGCGTGCGAACAAGACCGAGAGCACGTGAGTGCGCGTGTATCATATTATCACGTCAGCTGCTAATGGCATCATTGCTTGTTCTAGAATCATAATCACCATCTGGGTTTTGCCACTTTCACGTGTTCGCCCCGCTGTCTGTGAGACTGGATGACTGTTGATCTACCTTGGTTGATTTTACCAGATGCCAAGTTTCACATGATTTTATTGTGTATATAGAAACAATCGCGTCCTGAAAGGCTAGCGTTAAGGGTGCGTTTTATAACTAGAAGTTTTTCTTTTTTGTTCTCCATAGACGATTCTGTCTCTAATAACGCGAGTCACAAGTTGCCAGCCACGTGATGCTATAACGGGAATTGTAAACGTGATCAAAGTACCAAATTGTAGGCAATGGGGGGGGGGGGGGGGGGGGGGGGGGTCTCTGGGCTGTCGGTTGTACGACGCAGTGTTGTGTACTTCCTAGACTAACATCTAGTCTCTAAAATGAACATATCGTACAGAAAAACAGTTGTTCATTTTCAGTACTGCAGTAATCTAGACTTGCCAGACATTTTAGACTTGCATGGGCTGTATTTGATATATATTTTTATCAGGGTCTGAAAGACAGACTATGTACTCCCCTCAATATAGATTTGTATATCATTAGTTTTTTTCATCATCATCATCATCATCATCATCATCATCATCATTTTCTGATCTTTATCTGAATTAACGTCCTGCCGAGTAACTCAGATAGATGCTCACATTAAAAGTGTCACAACATTATCGTATGATGTTTAAAGTAAAGCCCCGTTTATCCGTGTGTGTGTGTGTGTGTGTGTGTGTGTGTGTCTGTGTGTGTGTGTGTGTTAAGTTCGGTTTTATGCCGCTTTTAATAATATTCCTGTTATATCACGGCCTGTCGGTTTAATGTGTGAGGAAAACCCGAAGTGATGCAGGTCTCAGACGTTTACCCCTTCGGTGAAACCCACGAGCACGGGTATGGTGCTGACAAACCTAGAGACGTAATCGTGGCGAACCGGGAATCGTAACCACAATCATAGGTTACTGGCGCGCCCAAGGGACGTAACTCTGCACAGCGAATTGCAGCGCCTTTGACGACTGGGCCACCTGTGTCCCCCTTTACCACAAACGTCTGTGTAATCAAATCTGTGCGTCAATAAGCTTCTTTAATGCACTCTGACATCCCCAACAGTGAGCTGGTTTAATGAGGTTTGAGGGGCGGTCGGGTAGCCTAGTGGTTAAAGCGTTCGCTCGTCACGCCGAAGACCCGGGTTCGATTCCCGACATGGGTTCAATGTGTTAAGCCTATTTCTGGTGTCCCCCGCCGTGATATTGCTGGAATATTGCTAAAAGCGGCGTAAAAACCAAACTCGATCACTCATCAAGCTAGGCATGTCTAGATAAGGGGACTGTACAAACGCCAGTCGTTTAGGGACCAGTTCAAAAGTTCAATGTCGAACAAAAAACTTAATTCCTTAGGTTTCGAGACATACCAAACACTCCGCCACCACCACCTCTAACAAACTCACTCACTCACTAACTCATGAGGTTTGGATGCGTTTAGTATTGGTAGTTCCAGTTTACGTTTATTATGCAATGGCTGTTATATTACTTGAGGAGGGGACGACTTGGTGATCGAGCTTGCCGCGAAGAGTTCTGTCCCTTGCTCTGCCAGGATCTGATGATCGTGGGTTCGAATCCCAGATTCACCACAATCATGTCCCTGGTGTCTGCATCGATATCGTGATCGTGAGTTTCACTAAAAGAATGTTAACTGGTCACAGCGGCGTACTCTCACTGACTCCCTCCTCCCACATTAAGCTGACACAACATCATATATTTAGAATACTAAACGAGCTCCCGTCAGATACTACAACTATTCACGAGTTTCATAGAATTTGTTTTACACGGGAGCGAGTTTAGTATTGTATTTATTACTTGCCATTTATAACGTTTTTAGAATTATACTGTTGAGTATGAATAGGCTGACACCTACACGATCCACGGCATAGTCCAATTGAGTTTACAGAATAATACCTCAAACACGTCAAAAGTTGAAACGTACGAATTTAATACCATACAACGGTCCAACTTTAGAATTCACAAAATTATCGTAGGGCTTAGACTGTCGCAACTCACATACTTTAACTTAGACTAACGACTGTCGTTGCGCTAGAATACCATCGCCTTGTGGAACGGGCCTTGCACCTCAAAGTTTACAATAACGTCACAATACCCGATGACGTAATTTGTGGAATTTTGTTGCAATATCCATCGGCGAAACAATGCCATGTGACGTCAGCCTAGCAACAAGGTTGCTGGGGTCATCGAGTGTAAAATACTGTTCAAAGGGGCGTTAAACTTAACTGACTCACTCACTCCTCCCACATTAAGCTGACACAACATCATATAACTGAAACACTGTTCAAAGGGGCGTTAAACTCAACTCACTCACTCCTCCCACATTAAGCTGACACAACATCATATAACTAAAATACTGTTCAAAGGGGCGTTAATCCCAACTCACTCACTCACTCCTCCCACAACAAGCTGACACAACATCATTTAACTCAAATTCTGTGCGTTTATTCCTCCCATCGCTTAGCCGTGTGGTAATTCCGTTTCGATATTAGAGAAATCCACGACAATCTTCAATGTATTTCTTATTCGGAATCTAATCAATATCTCATGGTCCAGAGTATGGCTGTGTTAAAGTGTCACTATGAAATGTGCAACGCAGCCTCTCAAAAAACATTGGACGAAGTAATACTCGGGTTCATACTTCCTTTCCTATCCACGACTCACCACAAACCCCCTTCCTGTTCCCATCCACAAAACCCACCTCAAATCCCCCTTCCCCCTTCGCGACATCCACTACGACCTCTCTTCCAACTAAGACCCCCGCGCTGAACCACCCACCCCTTTCTCCACCTCGAGCCACCCCATCTCCCCACCCCAATCCATACCCATCCGTCCATTACCCCTTTATCCGTCCTTATCAAACTCACTTAGTCAGTACAGAATTCATCAAACTATCACGTTTAAACTGACACTCAAACAGGCGGTATCTAATTTGTACCTAATCATTCAACGAAAGTAATCGATGCTGTTGTTGTTCTCGCATTTGACATTTGTAAAAGATGCCTCAAGTCTCTGACCTGTCTTCACTTATATATATATATATCTAACCTTTGAAAATAAAGATAGGCGCAGGTAAGTATTTGTTAGCTGCGTTTGTACTCGGTATCGATGATGTGACAGGTTTCTGTTGACGAGACTAAATCATTAAGAGCCAGGGATTGGTGTTAAAAGTCTTCGTGAAGTCTCAGGATCGTCACACATCGTTCGGTTTCAAGAGAAGCTGTAAGCTCAGTTCAAGCTCTAATTACATGCAACTAAAACTTGCTCTCTACTAAACTATGTTCTTAAATACCCTCTACTAACATTACCCTCATCTATGTTTCATTCTAATAAATTAGTCTCTACTAAAATGACCCACATTCATGTTACATTCTAAAAATTTAGTCTCTACTAAAATTACCCACTGCTAATTTATGGTCTACTAAATTTGGTTTCACTAAAATTACCCTCTTCTAGGTTACGTTCTTCTGAATTGCTCTCTTTTTAAATTACCCTCTTCTTGGTTACGTTCTTCTGAATTGCTCTCTTCTAAAACTACCCTCTTCTTGGTTACGTTCTTCTGAATTGCTCTCTTCTAAAATTACCCTCTTCTTGGTTACGTTCTTCTGAATTGCTCTCTTCTAAAATTACCCGCTGCTGAGTTACGTTCTTCTGAATTGCTCTCTTCTAAAATTACCCTCTTCTAGGTTACGTCCTTCTGAATTGCTCTCTTCTAAAATTACCCTCTTCTTGGTTACGTTCTTCTGATTTGCTCTCTTCTAAAATTACCCTCTTCAAGGTTACGTTCTTCTGAATTGCTCTCTTCTAAAATTACCCTCTTCAAGGTTACGTCCTTCTGAATTGCTCTCTTCTAAAATTACCCTCTTCTTGGTTACGTTCTTCTGAATTGCTCTCTTCTAAAATTACCCTCTTCTAGGTTACGTTCTTCTGAATTGCTCTCTTCTAAAATTACCCTCTTCAAGGTGACGTCCTTCTGAATTGCTCTCTTCTAAAATTACCCTCTTCTAGGTTACGTTCTTCTGAATTGCTCTCTTCTAAAATTACCCTCTTCTTGGTTACGTTCTTCTTAATTGCTCTCTTCTAAAATTACCCTCTTCTAGGTTACGTTCTTCTGAATTGCTCTCTTCTAAAATTACCCTCTTGAAGGTAACGTTCTTCTGAATTGCTCTCTTCTAAAATTACCCTCTTCAAGGTGACGTCCTTCTGAATTGCTCTCTTCTAAAATTACCCTCTTCTAGGTTACGTTCTTCTGAATTGCTCTCTTCTAAAATTACCCTCTTCTTGGTTACGTTCTTCTGAATTGCTCTCTTCTAAAATTACCCTCTTCTAGGTTACGTTCTTCTGAATTGCGCTCTTCTAAAATTACCCGCTGCTGAGTTACGTTCCATTTAATTACTAATAATTTAGTAATCACTTAAACATTACAATGTCACAGGCATCGGAGGTTAGATCACCTTAACCGCAACTTTAACATCATTGCGCTTGCTCAGGCCAAAGCGAAACGTCTACTTGTTCAACATCTTCTCTGAAATATCTCGTCGAAAAATGGGATAGGCGGAACAAAATATGTTTCAATGCATTTGGATTTTAGATCGTTTGACCTTCACGTATAACCACTTCGCTCTAGTCATATTATGTCTCTGAATGTTTTAATAATATTTTTTATTTTTGTGTGTGCATATTTGCAAAAAAATTCCGAGCTAATTCAGAAAATCACCAATTACTGCTTACTATGATTGTGAAATTTGATATGCATTGTTTTAATATGCCTTGTAGATGTGTGTTAATGTTTTGCTCGTTTGACCTCTGACCTTAAAGTAACGCCGTATTGTAATGGTTCCACATTTTCGTCATCTCCCTTTGAACCGGGAAACTGACATTTAGAGTAAATGGGGAACATTTAAATATGGCCACCAAGACGGCCATGTTGGAAATGTCATCTCGTACATCAGCGAGACTACACCGCATGTGTTTGTCATTGTGTCTCTGGGCCGGAGGGGTCACGGGTGGCCCAGTCGTCTAAGGCGCCGCGATTCGCTGTGCAGAGTTGCGTCCCTTAGGCACGCCAGAAACCTATGATTATGGGTTCGAATCCCGGTTCGCCCCGGTTATGTTTCTAGGTTTGTCAGCACCATACCCGTGCTCGTGGGTTTCACCGAAGTGGTAAACGTCTGAGACCTGCATCACTTCGGGCTTTCCTCCCACATTAAGCTGACACGCCGTGATATGACTGGAATACTGTTAAAAGCGGCGCTAAACCCAACTCACTCACTCACTCACTCTGGGCCGGAAGGGATAGCTCAGCGTTTAAAGCGGTAACTAGTCACGGCCCGGGTTCGATTCCTCATATGGGTACAATGTGTGAAGCCCAGTTCTGTTACACCCGCGGTGTTATTGCTGGAATGGGGATAACAGCGACGCATAACCATACTCACTGACCAATACGCACCGAGTTGTGTCCCTTGGGCGTGCTTGAATTTGGTGTAGATTTGTTTGTTTCTTGTTATACGACCCACACAATAATATTCCTTCCACATGTAGGTAGAATGCTTACAATATTGTTATTATGAACTATTGAATCACACGGTCTGGTTACGATGACACACAAAGACCCCGTTATCACAACCCCATTCATTGAGCCGCTTTTTCCAATGCCAAATATATTCGAAATTATCAGGTGCCGTGAATTTATGAAAGTCTAGAAAGCTCACATTTCGCAATTTCGCAATAATCAGACCTTAGTTCTCGCTACCGCTAAACAAAGATCTGAAGACATCGCAGACGACATTAGGGGTCACGTCAGAACGACTTTCATCCGACCAATCAGAGCGTAGCTTACCAGATCATGAAAGTGAGAGTCGGAATAATAATACAACCTCGAAAACTTTAACACGGGGTATTCCGAACGATAGTTACGGGTTTAACGACTGAATCCATACAATCTAGACCATCTCTTAGCCATTCCGGGATGTTTTTTAGTTCAGGTTTCAAATGTGTAATCGAGAATTTGTCAAAATATGTTTCGAAGCGTAGTCGCCAATTTGAAATTAGTGCCGTAAAGTACGAGAAAGCTGCCTTCTGATTGGTCATTCCGTTCGTCAGTCAAAGTTTACGCAAGGTCGGTCTGGCGTGACCTGTAATGGGATGTCCTCAGATCTTTGTTTAGCGGTAGCGAGAACTAAGATCTGATTTTAATGAGATTGTGTTGTATGTTGATCAAAGTGTCATCTAGGAAACTTATACAAATAGCTCCGAGGACGCTCGCGTGTACACCTCCTGGTCACGAGCTGTGATTACTTAATAATAATTTGTTTGTTTGTTTGTTTTTGAACGCCGCACTCAGCAATATTCCAGGTATATGACGGCGGTCTATAAATAATCGAGTCTGGACCAGACAATCCATTGATTGATATCATGAACATCGAACCTACCCAATTGGGATACGATGACATTCATCAACCAAGTCAGCGAACCTGACCACCCGATCCCGCTAGTCGCCTCTTACGACAAGCATAGTCGCCTTTTACAGCAAGCACGGATTGCTGGAGACCTATTCTACCCCGCATCTTTACGGGTCACTTATTAATTGACATAAATGTTATTTTGCGGATTTGTTAATTATTTTCATCGTTTACAGCCTAATGTGTGATTAATTTAGCAATTGGATAATTTGGGGTGATTGGGGCAGTAGGGTAGGGGTGATTGGGGCAGTAGGGTAGGGATGATTAGGCAGTAGGGTAGGGATGATTGTCGCAGTAGGGTAGGGATGATTGTCGCAGTAGGGTAGGGATGATTGTCGCAGTAGGGTAGGGATGTTTGGGGCAGTAGGGTAGGGATGATTGTCGCAGTAGGGTAGGGATGATTGTCGCAGTAGGGTAGGGATGTTTGGGGCAGTAGGGTAGGGATGATTGTCGCAGTAGGGTAGGGATGATTGTCGCAGTAGGGTAGGGGTGATTGGGGCAGTAGGGTAGGGATGATTGTCGCAGTAGGGTAGGGATGATTGTCGCAGTAGGGTAGGGATGTTTGGGGCAGTAGGGTAGGGATGATTGTCGCAGTAGGGTAGGGATGATTGTCGCAGTAGGGTAGGGATGATTGTCGCAGTAGGGTAGGGATGTTTGGGGCAGTAGGGTAGGGATGATTGTCGCAGTAGGGTAGGGATGATTGTCGCAGTAGGGTAGGGATGTTTGGGGCAGTAGGGTAGGGATGATTGTCGCAGTAGGGTAGGGATGTTTGGGGCAGTAGGGTAGGGATGATTGTCGCAGTAGGGTAGGGATGATTGTCGCAGTAGGGTAGGGATGTTTGGGGCAGTAGGGTAGGGGTGATTGGGGAAGTAGGGTAGGGATGATTGGGGCAGTAGGGTAGGGATGTTTGGGGCAGTAGGGTAGGGATGATTGGGGCAGTAGGGTAGGGATGATTGTCGCAGTAGGGTAGGGATGTTTGGGGCAGTAGGGTAGGGGTGATTGGGGAAGTAGGGTAGGGATGATTGGGGCAGTAGGGTAGGGATGATTGTCGCAGTAGGGTAGGGATGTTTGGGGCAGTAGGGTGAGGATGATGAGTTATGAGCTTTTGATTCAACCCTGTTTTGTTTTTCATGAAATAAAATGTTATTGTCCCCAAAATGTTTTCCTGATCATCTTTATCAAAGTGACCGCCTCCGTGGTCTAGTGGTAGAGCGTCCGCCCGGAAAGGTCCAGGGTTTAATCCCGGGCCGCGTCATAGACGTTAAAAGGTGGTACTTGTTAATACCCTGCCTGGATTCGGCATTAAGGAGCTAAAACAGGGTCTGGTCGACTCGGAGTCAGTATACAGTGTCTGAGTGGCGTATTCATGTTAAACTGCGGTATGGTATCTCAGTGGGCTAGCACTATAAATCGGCATCAGTTCGGACTAGTACAAGCAGCCATACACACACACGTGCATGCATGTCGCTATATAAGTGTAATAATCTAGGACGCGACGTTAAACCCCATTGCATTTCACCTCTTCATAAAAAAAATATGCCTTTACATTTAATGTTCCATGAGACCTAATGGCAATTGTTCGGTGTTTCAGACACAAAAACCGGCTTCTTTGAAGATGTAATCCAATATGGCCGCCCTATCCGCCATCGTGAAACAGAGTCCGGTCTTCAAGTACGTTCTTCCGTGTCTGTTCATCAGTTTGTTTGGCCTCTTGTATTATGTTGTGGTGTACACGAAGCTGGACCTCACAATCCTTGTGCCATCCAAGTCATCTTTTGGAAAGCTTCAGTTCATCACCAATGGATTTACATTCTCCAACCAATCGTTACATCTCTACGGATCTTATATATCGAGAGACGGAAGCGTGGCCTCGCATAACGAGACGTATATCAGTCTAGATGGTAATATGATTGAAGGTATTCGATCTCGGTACATAACTGCCAAGCAAATAGAATTCGAACGCATGTGTCCTAAAATTCACGTGACGTCGGTGAGCTGTAGTGCCTTATTTGACGGCGATGTTGTTGAGACGGAAAGGGTTAAAGCTGTCATGGAAAATCAGACTCGACAGCAGAAGCCAGCTGAGTTGTACATAGAATTAACCCAAAACTGTGATACGTTTAAACGGAAGAGAGGATACGTTACGAAAACGCTTACGGAGGAAGAGAAGCACTTCCCGTTGGCCTTCACCTTGCTAATGTTCAAGGACGTGGAGCAAGTTGATCGTCTCCTACGCGCCGTCTACCGGCCGCAGAATTATTACTGTGTTCATGTGGACAGTAAAGCGGAAGCGAAGGTCAAGGATGCCATGCGTGGAATTGTGGGATGTTTTAATAATGTTTTCTTTTCGTCACGGTTTGTGGATGTTCAATGGGGAACATACTCCGTGCTGGAACCAGAACTTATATGCATGGAGGAATTATGGAAATATAAAAAGTGGAAATATTTTATTAATTTAACCGGACAAGAGTTCCCACTGAAGACAAACTTTGAACTCGTCAAAATATTGAAGGCGTACAATGGAGCCAATGACCTTGAAGGAACTGTTAAAAGGTCAGTAGTTTCCCTCATATCTATGTCTGTCGCTACATATGTAGTCCTGCACCATGACCGTGGAATATATTTATTTTATGAAAAAATAATAATCTAGAAATGCATACAAAAGCAAGTCTAGCCAGCTCAAGCTAGCTCTATTCCACTCTGAAATCAGCATAGGGAATTTTTTTTATTTTTAGAGTCAAGAAGGATATTGTGTAATATAAGATTTCAGAGACTAAATGTTAGTCTACTACATATGGTACACGTATAGTTGCTCATGCTGCTTATTAGTTTTTTTAGGACACCCGTGTCGAGTGAACATTTGTAGCACCTTCAGGCACAAACTTTAACAAACAAACAAACAAACAAACACCGAAACTTTCAAAACAACCAAACCCAAACCCAACACACACATTTATACACATATTTTCACATACACATATCTTGTATACTCCCAAGGGAGTTGAGAATGATAACTGGAATGTATACGGAACCACTGGTCAGGGAACAAATAAACCGCATTTGAGCAGATACAGATATCAAATATCCGAAATGCGATGCTCATGATATCACTCATTGGATTGTCTTGCTAAGATTATTTACAGACTGCGGTCGTGTAGCAGGAATATTGCTGCCTTAATGGATGTTAGCTTATGTAAATCCTGACTCGAATAGGAGACACACCTGTTGTATAAACAATATCTCTAGAAGCACCAGGGTGGAGTGAGTGAGTGAGTATGATTTTACGCCGCTTTTAGCAATATTCCAGCAATATCACGGCGGGGGACACAAGAAATGGGCTTCACACATTGTACCCATGTCGGGAATCGAACCCGGGTCTTCGGCGTGACGAGCGAACGCTTTAACCACTAGGCTACCCGACCGCCCCACCAGGGTGGAGTTATAGGGTGAGTGACCATAGTTTTACGCCGCTTTTAGCAATATTTAAATAATATCACGGCGGGGGACACCAGAAATGTTGGGAATCGAATCCGGGTCTTCGGCGCGATGAGGGATCGCTTTAAAGACTAGGCTACCCCGCCGCTCCTGAAGTTATAAGGTCTGTTGCGATACGTATGACGTGTTTACGACAGAAGCAGGATGTATGTGAGATGAGGTAAGTCAAGCATGACACGACAAGAACGCATTTAATACATTATGAAACAAAAGCATTGTATGACAACTGCGTGGTTGGCAGATTAAGTAGGCCTCTCGGGACACTTGACATGGGCGTTCTTGGTGCACGAGAGCGTTACTGATGTACTAAGTGTTGTCAGATTTGCCAAGTGGCAATCAGCTAATAATTCATTTAATTTACTGTCACAAAGCATCCATGGTTTTAATACCAATGGTATATGCTTCTAGCCATTACATTCAAAACTTTTTCTTTTTTTAAAGAGTTGATTTGGTCTCTAGGGTTTCACTGTTTTGTCTTGGAGTGTTTTGTTTCAATCCTTGAGTGTCATCCTGGCCCACGCCATCAGTGCCCTAATGCAAACAAACTTGGACCAGCTTGTCCTAGACTAACATCTAGTCTCTGAAATGAACATATCGTACAGAAAAAAACAGTTGTTCAGTTATCTTAATAAAAATATAATAAAAGGGAGCCCAGTGACTCTCTTCATTTTCAGATACTGCAGTAATCCAGACTTGCCAAACATTATAGACTTGCATGGGCTGTATTAGATATATATTTGTATCAGGGTCTGTAAGACAGACTACAGCTTGTCCCTGCCTGCTTCCCTGGGTCATACTGTAAAACCTTGGGTGGGGTGGGGTCTGGGGTCTTGGGGTGGGGTGGGGTCTGGGGTCTTGGGGTGGGGTGGGGTCTGGGGTCTTGGGGTCTGGGGCTGGGGTCTTGGGCTTGTCTGGGTTCACATCATATGTTTTCTGTCTGAAGCTGAGAATGTAGACGTGACTCAGTGATACACATATAAACATAGCTGTGTAGGATAAAGCTAGATGTTTATCACAGGCTGCCAGAGCTCTCACCATACGTCAAGTGTTAAATACTAGGTTTTCACTGTTTGGCTAAATGAAATAGTGAAATGAATACAAAAGCAATGACACAAATACAGTTTCAATATATATGTATGAAAACTATCTGATGATTTATGATTTTAATATAGATTAATAAGAATAAGAGTATATTATACAAAAACCCAGAGTACAGTATCCATCAAAGACAACATGGTACTAAAGTTTATAGAAACTAGTCTGCACATAGACTTACATATGGTTCATACACATGTATATATACAGGGTTGGTTTGTTGTTTAACGCCGCACTCGGCAATATTCCATCTATATGTCGGCGGTCTGTAAATAATCGAGTCTGGACCAGACAATCCAGTGATTAATATCATGAGCATCGACCCACGCAATTGGGATCGATGACATGCATCAACCAAGTCAGCGCGCCTGACCACCCAATCCCGCTAGTCGCCTTTTTACGACAAGCATAGTCACCTTCTACGGCAAGCAGGGGTTGCTGAAGACATATTCTACCCCGGAATCTTCACGGGTCATATATACAGGGAGAGAGAGCTAGTACGCATACTGATGATGATATATAAGTTACAACTAAAAGCACATAATGATTAACAAAGACACTGCAGAAGGAGGCACATAATTCAGTAGATACTAAACCGAATAGGTAGAGGAACTATTCGACTATGTACATGTAGTCTGCTCTTGTATTAAAAATGTCAAGTATAATTGTTTCTATGACTTTGGCGTGGTCTGCTTCTGGATTTAGATTTAATATGTCATTGATGATTGATTGGTAATAACATGAACATACAATGAAAGTTTTGAACAAAATTAATAAGCTACCCTGCAAGTTATACTGTTAACATTATAGTTCTGATTTGTTATATTCATATTAAATAAGGGGCGGTCGGGTAGCCTAGTGGTTAAAGCGTTCGCTCGTCACGCCGAAGACCCGGGTTCGATTCCCGACATGGGTCCAATGTGTGAAGCCCATTTCTGGTGTCCCCCGCCGTGATATTGCTGGAATATTGCTAAAAGCGGCGTAAAATCAAACTTACTCACTCATATTAAATTATACTGATTAAGTGATTGGGTTGATGGGAGTCCCATTCATGTTCATGATTTGCGACATTTCATTGTGTGGTTGCAGTTGTTATCACAAGTAATGATGATTGTTGAATTGTGTGACATAATTGATGGCAACTATATATTATTATCTTACTCCAATGTTGGAATCGTGAAGCAAACCTTAATTTCCCCGCAACGTTTAAAGTGTCCTCCAAAAGTTCATACTTAATATTTTACTGATGTGTTGATGATTTTTGTAGTGTTTAATGCATGAACTCCATTTGGACCATAGCAAATTAGTACAGGTGTTTAAACTGACAAGGAAGCTGTAGCGAGATCACAGTAATGTTCTTTTCGTTTCCCTCTGTGTCGAGCAATATTCTAGCAGTTCCAGCCTTCGGTGTCCAAATTTTTCAGTGCTTTAGGTACAATTAAGCATGCTGTTTCCACGAAGATTTCAAAGAGCATCATACAACTCTTGCTCAAAAGTTGTTCGATCAAGATTACAACATTCACGGCCTCAGTAAAGCTTTCAAAAGGTTTTATGGTAGACATTCTGAGGACATTTCCAAAGTTGACATATCAGGGATAAGAATGATGTCAGATGCAGTTCCCTATTTTGATTTACCATATGTTCCCCTGTTTTGTCACGTGAACAATTGACTTGCCTTTGCATGTGTTTGTGATGGGTGCAACGAATGCTTGTCGTAAGAGGCGACTAACGGGATCAGGTGGTCAGGCTTGCTGACTTTTGTTGATTCATGTCATCTTATCGCCATTGTGTGGACCAATGCTCATGATGTCAATCATTGGACTGTGTGGTCCAGACTCCATTATTTACACACCGCCGTCATATAGCTTGAATATTGCTGAGGTATAAAACAACAAACAAACAAACAAACAAACAAAACTTAGGAACTTGTGCGAGTCCAATATCTGGATTACAGACAACCACTGAGACAAATGACAACATAATATTCAATATTTTCTATAACATTTTTTTGTAGTATATTAATGAATGAAAGGTATATTTATCCTTTCAAAAATTGTAAAAAGTCATTTTTAGAACATTTTGAGTTTATTTTCAAAATACTTCTTTTCAAAGACTACATATTATACTATTAAATCATAATGTTATAAAGTAATTAGTAAACATACTTACCCCAAAAGAAACGCACACCCAAAGTATGAAATAGACAAATGTTATACCTTTTCGATTTCAAACATTTTACATTTTAGTTTGTGCATTTCTTTTAGAGTGAGTGAGTATGGTTTTACGCCGCTTTTAGCAATATTCCAGCAATATCACGGCGGAGGACACAAGAAATGGGCTTCACACATTGTACCCATGTCGGGAATCGAACCCGGGTCTTCGGCGTGACGAGCGAACGCTTTAACCACTAGGCTACTGGGTCTTCGCCAGATATTGTGGCAGACCAAAGAAAACAAGAGGGACTGGCTAGCTGGGCTTCATTGCCTTATCTTGAGATGTTTTCTTAAACAGTCTCTCTGTTTAAGAAAAAAAATGATATGGGAAATATTTTAAATGTGCAGATGCAGCTGTGCATTTCATTCAATTATCTACTCTATTGTTATATGCACACTGTAATATCATAATTATTGAAGCAATCCTGACTTGCCCAAATGTCATCTTTGATGAATTGACGTGATAATTCACACACGTTTCTTGTTTTGAAATGTTATGTTTTGATATTATATATACCTGGTTTGATTATATAGCACATTTTTTCTATTTTCTTAAATTAACACTTTGATGAAGACTGCAACTAATTATGTTTTCTAGCTTATTATTATTATGAATATATCACAAAGTACCAGTGTTTATCTGCATTACAGTAAACTACGGTTATAACGAACTCAAATGGACTACTATTTTTAGTTCCTTATAACCGTAGTTCGTTATAAGCATATATACAGCATATCTACAGCACATAG